CCCTCATGCCGGGGCCCCCACATCTGGTGTTTTTTAAATTGTGTGAACTACCCCCCACCACCCCCCCCACCCGGCCGGGGGGGGCTGGGGAATTCTGGGAGTTGAAGTCCACACATCTTCAAGTCTCCAAGGTTGAAGAACCCTGGTCTATGGGAGATCCGTCTCCTCTCCTCTCTGACTGCAAAGTTAAGTTGGAGTTGGCTATAAATCAGAAGCAACCTTCGGTGGACATACCTGCCAATAGACTGGGGGAGGACGGGGGAAAGACAGCCTAGGCCCTTGGTCTAAGTTAGGTGACCAGAACAACCCAGGGAAGATTTAAACTAGGTCAGGGAAAAGAAGAAAGACTTTCTTAACTTCTTTGTAGTTATGAAAATAATTTCTAGGCATTTTGTTCCTTTCCTTCCTAACAATGCTGCAGAACTTATACGGGGTGGGAAGGCATCTCTTTCAGTTTATGTCTGGGAACGCTTCCCACTTCCTCCTGAAGATACGTGGCTTCACAGATTGCCTGTCCACCAGCTCTTCATTTCAAGTGAAGCGATGCTTCTTTTTGCTTTTTTAAATGAATGCTTACTCTACAGTTGACTGAACTGGTTGAGAAAGCAAAGTTTGGCTTTCCAGCTGTTCAAGCTCCGTCTCCTCTTCACTTGTAAAGGAAAAGCTCAATTTCCAGTTGGCTTCATTAATTTCAGTTATCTCCTTAGACTGGAGATAACCGTGGTCTGCAATGAGTCTCTAAAAAGTTTCCATTCATTGCAGTGAAGGTTGTGAATGGCCTAGTAGCTAAGGAGAAATTTTCAAGCGAGAGAGTATGCATCTTCCGGGTGAAAGTACATATGGCAATAAGTGTGCGTGGTTGTGTGAAGATGTGTGGAAATGGAAACCAGGGATACAAGTTCCGGCAGGCAGCTGTGTGGACAGGGATAGTAAGGGATGGAAGTTGAGTGTGTGTACCGTCATGTCTGAATTCACACCTAAACCACGATGCTTTAATTGGAGAATTACTATAATGCAGTAGTGAATGCAGTTCTGTATAGTTTTTGACCTCTATGACATAAAACACAGCATTTCAGGAAATTGAGTTTCTTCCTTTTCAGCAGATGACAGCACCTGGATGTTCTTGCCTCAGCCTGGAAGCTAAGCAGGGCTGGGGTTGGCAAATATTTGGATGGGAGACTACCCCCACAGGAACCTGGACTGCTGGGTAGACTGGATAGTAAAAAAACTAAACAAAACAGGAAATGTCAGAAGCAATCCAGTGCCATGTGGTTGCCAAGAAAACTGCATGGCTGTGTCCATGAAGGCACTGGGAGTCGAGCTCTTTCAAAGGAGATGTGACTTTACTATTTCTGAAGTCCTGACATAAACTGGAAATCTCTCCAGTCTTCGCTGGCTGCCTTCTCACAGAGTTGCTGTGAGAAGAAAACGGAATCTCTCTTTTAAAACCTCAAGGAAGAACGATGGCTTCCAAACTGCCAAAGAAAAATACAAATGCTGAAGCCTCATTTCCCAGATCAGAAGAAAGGCTCTGCCCAACCATACTCACTCTCTTTGGAGAAGGAGGAGAAGATGCTGTTTTGGGGCGTGAAGGAGCCCGTGATTCAGGTTCAGCAGCCGGGGCTGGTTTGCTGGGATTCTCCGCGTTGGGCGTATCGGACATCCCTCCTCCTTCAGAGCTGAAATTCCTCAAAAATCCAGGATATTTCAATTTCCCACTAAGGTCAAGAGGCACTGTGTTCCAGAGATTTTCAAACTAAGCATATAGAAATAGACCTGTTAGTATATATGAAGCCAGGTGTTTGGCACATGATGCATAAGCTAAGGTTTAACTTCTAAACCAGATAAAGACACAGGCCAGGGAAACAAGGTCCCCCAAGCATCTGAGGTGGTTAGGAAACTTCTCTGTGGTGAAGGAAACTCATCCTCAGTTGACGGGTGTCCATAGGGCATGGTAAAAACATGACAAGATGATGGCTGCAAATATGTGATTGAAGCTCTGCCCTTGTTTGCATGCAGGTACTCTACCCCTTTTTACCTGAGCCAATTGTGGAGTTGCAGCTGCCATCTTGGAGGATGCTCAGGACACAGCAGCCTCAAAAGTGGGGTGGAGTGAAGTGGAGTAAGAGAAGAGAACAGAACGTTGCCCGAGAGCTTCTGTTCTCTCCATCAACCCGAGCAGAAGTGGCCAGGGTGGCTCCGGGCCCTGTGGTCAGATGGGCAGGGAGTGGTCCTACAGTGGGCCCATGGGAGCTCTCCCGGCTGCTGACCTCCTTCAGGCTCTGCTTCCATGCAAATCAGAATTTTCACCCAGGAGATTGCGTTGCCCCACTCTCCCGCCAGACCACTTGGATCCAGCTTCAACCTGTCTCAACAGCAGGTTGGCAGCAAGATGGAGGCTCTGTGAAAAGCACATGCCCTTTACAGAGAAAGAGCAAGAGGTGTGTGGATGAGGCCTAAAAGTGTGAGGAAGAATGAATATCAATCTAATGAAAATATGACAGCTGGGCCAAAAAAGCACATCCTATATTTGTTGTGGTTCCTTGGAGGATTTCTTACCCAAGAACAAGGAAGACCCCCAAGAATCTATGGAAAAGGGCCTGGAAGAGAAACCCTGCTAGGGAAGTGCCTGGGGATGCAGCCGGGGAACTGGCTCAGCGATTGAGACCCCCCAAGTTCCCGAACTTGAAGGCTTCAAGAGACAGACCGTGCACTTGCAAACTTAAGGCTTCGCCCGAGAGCTGGGCTTTGTTCTCAAGCAACGCTTCTGGCCGAATAATCTGCGATGGTCTACAGCTATTGCCGAGGAAACTGATAGAAATTTTCCCAGTGTAAGGCTACTGCAAGGATGGCCATACTGCCATTCCCTGTTTTCCCAGCTCCTAATCTGTTCAACTTCTGGACTGGATCTTACTGCTGCCCCAGCGTTGGTCCTGAGACTGACTTGCTGCTTTTGGGACTTGACCCTCTGTTTGTGAGCTCAGGCCAAAACCTGAGCAAAACTAAGGCTGAAGGCCAGTTTTGTTCCTGCTGCTTTATTTTACATTCTGGAGGAGAGACAGTATATATCTGCAGAAAATCCTTTCATCTTTTACTGGCCTACCCTAACCTAATTCTTCCTTAAGTCCCTTTGGGAAAGGGGTAGAGGAGAAAATGGCGCTTGGGTTGGATCCAGGAATGGAATTAAAGGACTTGGTTGTTCCTTTGTTTTGGTTCTGGGAACTGACTGTCTGAACATGTGAAATGCTGGATCAGTGCAGGAAAGCCTAGGATCAAGGTATTAAGCCATCATCGTAGGTATGCACACATGGAAATGCAGCATCAAAATCAATGGCTTGTATTTCCAAAATGTATGTATTCTATAGAGGTGGGTTAATGATTTGTTCCAAGGTCTGAACACACAAGTTAACTTCTGTTTTTCTTTAATGGGTATGCACACTCACGCACACATATACACCCTCTGCTCAACTTCCTGACATGTCACAAAAGCAGACCTTGGAGAAAACTTCATCACCTCTAAGTCTTTGATTTGCAAGTGGCAAGTTGCAGGAAAACATCAAAGACCACAAGTACATTTTGAATTTCCTTTTAACTTTCCCCCATTGGACACATGTCTACCATATTATAAATTATACAAAGCAAAGCACACTTTGCACTACTTAGAGAACTTCAGAATGTTTTTTTCAAGCATCGTCTGAATATTATCATTGCTTTGAATTCCGGGTTAACTATTAGTTGAAGGTTGCCAGCCTGGGGAATATATCAACAGTGTAATGGAGAAGATGAAGTGGAAAAATACACAGGTATTCCAGCAGGAGGTAGTTCCAAAGAAGCTTCAGCAAAAATAGCGGAGCTGGGGACCCAGCCTCAATAAGTTTCAGACTTTTTTGATTCCTTGGCATATTTAAGCCTGGTTGCCCCCTGTTTAATTGGGTTCCAGTTATAACTCTCAAACAAGGTGCCACGAGTCATTAATGTGACACAAGAAGAGCGACTCTGTACCTATTAACAAAGAAGCCTTCCTGAAGGACTTGTGTCCACTCCCTGGTCTCACCTCCTTCCCGTCAGCCTCCACCAGGGTTGAGGTGGATCGTATTTCTGGCACATCTTCGTGCCAGTTGGGATTCCCTCATTTGCTCATTCCTGGCCCAGAGATGCTGCAGGGGTAACAGCAACTCAGCATCCTTGCAATCAGGGGACCAAACGCCCAGAGCAGTGACTGATAACAGACCCACATGAGATCATCTCCTCCGGGGCAGGTTCTCCTTGCATCAATACGCTCAAGAATCAAGTAGTTCTGCACACAAGGGGTTAAATGGGCCACCCCTTTTAAGTAAGAGGAGGACATTTTTTGAATATGAAAGTACACCTATGTTGTAACCTGTTCTTTCCACTCATCACTTCTGAATTCTGTTGTATAAAAGAGATTCTCACAGGCATTGAAAGAGGAGAAAAAAGACCAGTCACCCAATGCATTGTTTATATTTTGAACCAAGTTGTACAAAGTAATAACTTGGCGCAGCCCTATCAATATTTGCCGGGTAAGTATTTTTCTTTCCTAAGGAAATAAGTCCCCACTTTGCTCACCTGTTCATCAGTTAGAAGCAAGAACCGTCGGTTACAGATGTCTCTGAACACCTCTTTAGACACCAGTTTTGTTTTTGTGGGATCCGCACCTTTAAACTCTTGTTCGATGGCCTGAAAGCGAGCACTCACTACTTCCTGGATGCGGGCCAAGACCTCTTGAGTGGACAGCTCCCGAGAAGCAAACCGCGTCTGCTCCCTTTCCGCCTGGTTGGAAGGTACAAGAGAAAGAAATCTCAGAGGGATCCACGTCTCTAGAGCGTTGTGCAGGGATCCTGCCCATCAGTTCTGTCCCAAGGGCCAGCTTGGACTTTCTGCACCAATGCAAGGAATGTCAGGAAATGCCGGGGAGAATGACAAGAGGTCAAGAATAAGGGGGGTAAAACCTTCTCTTAAACTAATAAGAATGCAATTTGAAGGAGGTTATTGTTCGCCTTTAAAAACTTTCACCATTCGAGCACAAGGCAAATTCTGGGTAATTGAATTTTGCACATATAATGTCACTCAGCCTTTCTCCAGGCTGGGTCTGCAAAAGATGGGAAAGATTCACAATTTGTGGTGGTCTAAGACCATAATAAACTTACTTACTTACTTACTAGGATCCATGATTGTCCCTATCTATGCAAAATATTGAAATGAGGAAACAGTAAAAAAGAAGGAATTTGACCAAAATTCCAAGAGGCAGTCAAAACAACAAAACAAGCTTCCTGCACAATTCTTGCCCGCTGATGTAATCTCCCGGATGCTGGAAATCTTGCCGAATTGATCTAGGGAAGCGGGAAAGACGGCTCGGAAGGACCACCATGGTTACTGCCCATTTCAAACACACTCAGATTAAGAAAAGTGCCAGAGAAAGAATCTCCACATAGGTATATGAATTTTCATGAATCTAGTCCACAGTTTGTACTAAATCCTGGGAGAAAGGATTTACTTCTGTTTGATTGATGGAACTTGGATACTTTCAATCCATAGCATCTGTGTAGAAAATTCTCAGAAACTACATATATTGTGTCACTCATTGAATGGAAACAACAATGCGGTCATATTATGACAAACCTTTGCTGACCATGCTGGGCCTTGCTCATCCAAAGAGGCAGGAAAATCCAAACCCAAACTACCTTTGATGATGTTCTCCATGCACTACCTCTGGGGCTCATTATGAGCTTGGTCTCTTACAAATGTTTCCCCTGGATTTTCATGGCAAACTTATTTCTCAGAAGGGCCCCCTGCTTCCAGTCCACCACCCTTTCTGCCTAGCTGCTGCAATTTCATCAAAGATCCTCTCAGCTGGGCCAGATTCTTTAGACCAGTGTTTCTCAACCTTGGTGACTGGAAGAGGAGTGGACTTCAACTCCCAGAATCCCCCAGCCAGCATGCTGGCTTGGGAATTCTAGGAGTTGAAGTCCACACATCTTCCAGTCACCAAGGTTGAGAAACATTGATTTAGACATTCCTTTGACGTGAGCCAGGAGAGGATGATCTTTGTTGTGATACACACTCTTTGGAATACCTTTCTTCCTGGAAACCAAGACCGCATGGACCTTGCTACAATTTGGGCACCCCCTGATAATGTTTTTATGGCTGAATTGAGTGACTTAAGCCCACCATTATGTATCTTATGATTGTATTTTATGTGTTTTAGAGCTTTCTATTTAAATGGGTTTTCCATTCCATGAGATCCATTGCTTGGCAGGTAGCATACATCTTCCATTACTTGATATCCATGGCTCAGTGACTTATCTCAAAGTGGCTGACCACAAAGGTGTGCAGTGTGGCACTTCTTTTGGGTCTAGGCAAGCCAAGGACCAAGCTTCCCTGTGGGGTATGCGTGTTTGTGTGTGTGCCTACAGAAGGAGGGTTACTGTACTCTTTCAGATTACATCCTGATCCAAAGCTAGGAGGCCTCTCAGGCCCAGATTCTCCAAAGCCCTGTTTCTTCAAACACTGGGGCTCGTCCTGCCTCTTGAAATCTTCCCTTCAAACAAGCCTTACCTTTTTAACTACCAGCTCTGATTTATCACCATACCATCCCCTGTTTTAACTGCCCTGGAACTCTGGAGAGTGGGTATTCTGTCAACTAGTTTAAAACAGCTGGCTGGTAAGCATCAGTTTGGGCTCCAGGAAGCCATGATATGTGGCTAAAAGATGGAAGGTGGTATTCTGAAAAAGGCCAACACTGGGATAACCACTCAACCAATACATTGCTACTGCTGCCCAACAGTTCAGCATATCGCCTTGGGAGATGGCAGTCTGGATCCTGGACGGCCCTGTGTTGGGGATGCTCTAGTGGTGGGTTCCTGCACTAGAGCCGTGTTTCTTAAAGTGTGGTCCCAGGACCCCTGGGGTCCCCCAAGACCCTCTCAGAGGTCTGCGGAATCAAAATGATTGGCCGGCCTATGTTGAAAAATAATACAATATTAAAATCCCATCAAATAATCATGAGAAGCAGTACTGGCAGCAAATGCATCACTTTTAATTTTTCATATGGTAAATATGGATCAATATAACCCATACGACCAAAAGCTGTTCTGGGGTCCTCCATAAGTACACATAAATGGATTTCCTCCATAGATTATTCTTTTAAATTTAGGACTGCATGCTTCAAGATGCTCAGACATTGGTAGTGATATAACTTGAGTCATCACCTTTCTGAGCCTCTTCCAGCATCTGCCCCACTGCTGAGAAAGAGAGGAAAGCAGTTTGTCGGTTCTGCCTTCTTTATCACCAACACCACTTTTTGTACTCCTGACAGGGGCTCCAAGGGTGCTCAAAAAAGTCAAGATGACAGTTGTGACTGCACCATCAAAGCCCTGCCTTTTTTTCATGTATCACACATTTAATGTAAGTAAAAAAAGGCTAAGGGTTTAATCACACAGTCACAGCCACCCTCTTGACTTCTTTGAGTCCCCCTGCAGAGCCCTTGTCATACCAAATGAGACACTGCAAACTGTACACTTCTTCGCATTTATTTAGTCCGAATTATTTGTAGGGCACAGCCGGTTCCTTACAAATTATGACCTGGTGTGGAGAGGTTCAAGTTCAGCATGGGAAAATCTTCAGAGAGTTAGGAGAATTGAATGAAGATTCAGAACTTGTTTACCATCTGAATCCTGGACCCTCCGTCACAACTCAAAGACAGTGCAGCAAAATCCCCCAACATTGCAGGGAACCCTATAATGTCAGGTCGACAGCAGCGGAAGGTCCTCCATTTCTCCAATTTTGGATGTTCCACAAGTGTTGGATTACAACATCCATAATTCCAGGCCAGTGGGACCAGTGCCTGTGGTTTGCTAGGCATGACCTAAAGAACACCAGACTGAAGAAGACTGCTTTACAGAGTATGAAAGATGTATTGGTTAGATTCTTATCCCATCTTTCTGAAGGCAGAGTACATCCCTTCATTTCATCTTCACCACAACCACCTGTAGGTAGGGTAGGATGGGCCAAAACAGCTATAGTTACCCAGTGAGTTGCATGGCTGACAGCAACTTGAACTGGCTTTTCCTGGCTGGAGATCCAAGGCTGTGGTCGCTGCTCCACACTGATCCTTTAATTGAGCCGGGCTAGACTGCATGCTCATTTTACAGTTCTCTTATTTCCAAGACTCAGATATTTTTTGAGTCTTGGCCACGCTAGTATCAAAACATTATATGGTTCCCTGCAGCCTTAAAAACAAGCCTGCACAGATTGACAAAGTATTCTGTGCTTTTGCACATCGGCCCCCAATTTGACTCTCATTCAAAATGGAAGCTAATGAAAAATGATTTTGAATATTTAAAAAAAAAAAAAAAAAGATGGGGATGATGGTGACGATGTTGAGGACGCCAGCCTTATAATCGATCAACAGTGCTGGGCTTTGATCAGCAGCAAACTGATTCTGCTGCCAGTGGGGTTTAGCTCAGTTAGAGCAAAGCCAAGAGCATCGAAGGGTCAGAAAGTCAAGATATTGATCATGACTGGGGTTGAAGCCCCGCCCCTTTTTAAGCACACATGATGTATGCAAAAAGGGTTGGGACTTCTGTCACGTGGTTGTGCCCGCCACTGACTTTTTTGATGCCTGATGCCCTTGAGCAGAACCACATATAATGAATAAGAACATACATCTCACTCAGCCCCATCAGATGCAACAGTGGATAACGCATCAACAAGAGGAAAAGAAAACCCGCAAATTCAACAGTGCCTGAGTATAAACTACTCCTCCCACCCGTATTCCTTCAAAGTCCTTTCTGTTGCAGCTTTCACCCAATCCTTTTCTTTGCTAACAGTAGTTCCACTTGTCCTGAGGAAGATCTCAGCTGGTTTCCACAGTTGGACCAGACCCCTAATACCTCAAAACCTCTCTCCGCCATTGCTTTATGCAGGAAATGACCCTCCTAGTTTTAGGATCTCATAAAGAGACAATTTTTTATGCTTGCTAAGCTGTTTTACGTTTTTAGGTTTTCTATGATGCCTCACTTGTCGTTGATCACAGTATACATCCACCGTATTTATAGCCCCACGCATGTAAAGCCCACGCTCGTTCGAGTGTACCAAGCATGCTAGAATTTTAGCATTTTATTTATAATGTAGTTTTATGATCTAGTTAATCCGTTTTCAGAATTTAGAATTTTAGCATTCTACTATTTGTATTTAGAGCGTTCCAGCCTGAACCATTTAATTTACTTTTATCGACCTTTTACCTAATGTTGATGTGTTTTCATTCAAGCCCTGCGCCCTCTTAAAAATCATATAAACTGCTGTCAGCAACCGTAACAAAGATACTATTATTTCTCAGCATAAAATGTACTTTAAATTTGTGCAGTTCTAGGATATGCTAATTACTCATATTTGCAGGTGAGAATTTTATTTTTATTTCTGAGGCTGCCATTTATTCCCCCACCTTCTCACAGGATCCATCTTTGGTAGTTCAGCAAATTTTCTATACCTGAACCATCCACAGAGAGCTACATTGCCCACCTCAGTAATTATAGTGTGTGTAAGGTATTATAATAAGTTTTTTGTAAATGTGCTTGAATGAGCAGCGTCATTAATATAATGGTATATGTTAAATCTAAAATAGTTGCATATTTAGATAAAGGGAGCAGTTTAATTATTAGCCTTTCTTTGCAAACTGTCTGCCAAGGCCCAATTTAGGGTAAAATGGAAGGGTCCTCGGGCTGACAAAGATGAGTTTAGAACATTCGCTGTAGCTGAAGTGCCCGTATACA